TCATCACCTAAATAAATTTTAGTTTCTTACAAATTTTTTTTTTCTTTTCAAAAATAGATTTTAAAAATCAAATCAAACAAAGACTTGGACTCTAGAATATTGAAAAATAAATTGACAAATGTCAAATAATAAGTAATGTCAAAGTATTGTACAAAATAACCTCTCCAAAGAATATTCTCAAAATAATAAAAAAAATATTTTTTATTCTTTTTTTACACTGTAATGAGTTAAAAAATGACTTTGACACTTCTATAATTAAAGTTGTTCTTATGATAGAATAAAAATATGTAATCACTTTTAGCTTCTTTTACCTTGAAATCTAATCTTGAGATAACTTAAAGGGATCATGGAGCTAACCTCAAGTTCCGTTTTAATAATTTAAATCGTTCATTTTCTAAGATTCTGTTGGAAATGGTTATAAATTCTAGGAAAAATCAGAATTTTATCCTAAGTTCGGTCTATTTTTTAGGTGGGCCCCGTGTATCGATTTTCACGGGTCAAAGTGGTAACGCGTTCTATACCGCGTTGTGATTCACGTGATATATTTGGTTGCTCAAAACCATTACCGAGTGAATGGAAAATTGAAGCCAAAGTGTGCACCATGAAAATGGAGTTTTGGTAGAAATTCCTTAAAGGTTTGAATAAAGCTTGTCCCACATTGATTTGGTGGGAGGTTTTGAAAGGGTTTATAAGGCATGGGTTTGGTACTTGGGGTGTGCCCCAAGGGGTACCCAAGTGTTTTAGAGGGAGAGGTTATGGGCAAAATGGGCTAGACCCATTGGACTCAAAAAACCACCACACACGCGCGCACCGCCGCCGTTCGGGCCAAGCTGGGCTTGGGCGCGGGTGTGTGGTTGGGTTGGGCTTGTCCGACCCAATACTAATCTTTTTTGATCAAAAATATTTGAATTTAATTTTATTTTTGGTAAAATAAAATTCATAATTCAAATTAAATTGGTTTGATTTTTCTGTACATCCAAACAGGGCCTTTCCCGTATTAAACCGGAAATAATCTAATCCGGATTTACTGTACACCCAAACAAGGCCCTTCCCATTTTTGTTATCTGGTATCATACCTGATTTACTGTATACCCAAACAAGGCCCTTCCCATTTTTGTTATCTGGTATCATACATGTTCAATTCAAAAACCTAGAGCCGCCATTCCATCTATAAATAGGACAGCCCTCATTTGGATTTTAAGAACTCTAATTTTCGTCCTTCATAATTCTTCAAACATCCTCTTCATTTTGCTGCATTATTTTCTTGTTAGAGAGAGTATAAACACTTTGTGTGTTCGTTAGACAAACAATTTGTAGTGCTGCTATTGTTTGTAGTAGATCATTTTATCTTGGGAGATAGACATCCACATTCTGAAAGCACCGTGGAGAGGACGAATTTGTCTTAAGGACACAGTGTCAAACACTGGACTTGATAAGATTATAATTCGAAGAAATTAAATCAAGTAAGTTATTTAATTAATTTTTGTGTTTTTGTTATTTATTTAAATCAGATTTTAATTTGTTTTTGTAATAAAATAAAATCTGTTTTATTTATTTATTTATTATTTCGAGTTTGATTTTTATAATCAAACAAATTCTCTTATTTTCCTTTTTTCTTTAAATTCTAGTTGTTATTTTGTACACAATAGAATTAAATCTTTTAAATACAGTGAAGATTGTCTAACAATCTTAAGACAGATTCCTTTTTGGTATCTTCATTGTATTTAATTTTCTGTGTTTTCAAACTAATATTCTGATTGGAAAAACAAATAGTGATTTATGCTATTTGACAGATAGTAGTAATATACTGTCTCTTTTCTTTGACAACTACTAGTAGTACGATACTGGTGTCATTAACAATTCAGAATATATTTTTGTGAAATTTTATTTCCTACTAAGGGCATCGGCCACAACATTGGCCTTTCCCGGATGATAATGCAACTCAAAATCATAATCCTCGATGAACTCCATCCATCTCCTCTGCCTCAGATTCAAGTCTCTCTGTGTAAACAGATACTGTTTTGGTTTCTAAACTCAACCAACCTGTAACAAACCCGCTCAACACATCCTATAACTCAAATACAAAGTAAGAAAGGATGTAAACAAGATAATAAACAACTACCAACATCCACGGACACATGTCCGGATCACTATACAACAAGGGTAAACCCGGGATCGCTATAAATCGACACTCGGGGCCCACCTAAAAAATAGACCGAACTTAGGAAAAAATTCTGGTTTTATCCAGAATTTTATAACCATTTCCAACAATCCCCCAACATGGAAGAATTTGTTTCTAGAATAAAATATTAGTTTTACAAACTAATTTCATTTTTATTAGGAAGAAACCTTTATGGCAAGATTATTTTCTTTATTGGTTATCTGAATCATTCTTTATTTTCCGTGTGTGGATCCGTAGTCGTGAATAGTTTCTGCACATGAGTCGGAAAATATATATATTCACAAGAACATTTGAATGTACATTTAATTAGTTTATTTCTGTACAAATCAAACTTATTCAATGAAGGTATGTTATGTCATTTTGGAGTTTAAAATTCAAAACGCATTGAATTTTATTTATGAGTTGAGAATCTTTTTATTTCATGATGCAAGTTTTGGGATCATGCATGATTACTTTATTTTGTTAATTCATTATTTTTAGTTGATGCGTTTGATATGCATGTATGATGTCAACTCAAGTTATTTCTTAACAAAATTTTCATGTGATTTGGAATGTTAAATTGATATGTTGATTAATTTGAGTTTCTCCAAACAATTTTGAATGGGTGTTTAAACACCAAAGAAATTTAAATATGAAGATGTATGTAATTATATCGGTCCGTTTAATTGGGAAGTAATTTAAGAAATCTTTTATGTTGATTATTGAATTATGTGACATGAGATGCCATTAATAATTATTTTACTTACGTAGTAGAATTTGTTAAACCATGAACCATTTTATTAATATGGGGGTGTATCTCTTGCATTAGTTGAGATAATTTAATTTTCTTCTATCACAAATATTTTTATGATAGTGGCATTTATTTGTTATTAAGTTGCAAGAATGTATACAATCAAATGGGTTTTTGAATTGTTTGATTCTTAGGCAAAATTTTTTATGAGGATATGATTTTGTCAAAACATTAATTCTGACTCGAGTAGTCGTAATTATTTTGGTTTTTTCTTGAATTTGTTTTAAAATTCATTGATTTATATTAGAAGTGATAGGGGTGGTGAATATGATGCACCATTAAATGAATTTTGTGCACAACATGGCATTATTCACCAAACTACAGCCCCTTATTCTCCACAGCAAAATGGAATTGCTGAAAAGAAGAATAGAACCCTCAAAGAAATGATGAATGCCATGTTACGAAGTTCAGGTTTACCACAGAACTTGTGGGGGGAAGCAATATTGTCTGCTAATTATGTTCTTAATAGAATACCCCACAAGAAAACCAAAAGCATTCCTTATGAATTGTGGAAAGGTCGACCACCTTCCTACAAATACTTAAAAGTGTGGGGGTGTTTGACAAAAGTTTTCCTTACAAGAAAGGACAGGAATTAAGTTCACAGAAAAGAACTTATGATTGTACACAAAGTAAGAGAGCTAAAACATCAAAATCCTTTGGTCCAGATTTTTTGACATACTTGTTAGAAAATGAACCTCAAAGCTTTAAGGCAGCAATGACAGGTCTTGAAGCACCTTTGTGGAAAGAGGCTGTTAATAATGAAATTGAATCCATTATGCAAAATCATACTTGGGAATTGGTGGATCTTCCACCAGGTTCTAAACCTCTTGGATATAAATGGATATTCAAGAGAAAAATGAAAGCAGATGGTTCAATTGACAAGTATAAAGCAAGACTTGTTGTTAAAGGTTACAGACAAAAGGAAGGTCTGGACTATTTTGACACATATTCCCCTGTGACAAGAATAACATCCATTCGCATGCTTATTGCTATAGCAGCGTTGTTTAATTTAGAAATGCATCAAATGGATGTTAAGACATCTTTCTTAAACGGTGATCTAAATGAAGAGATCTATATAGAACAACCCGAAGGGTTTGTAGTATCAGGGCAAGAAAAGAAAGTTTGTCGACTTGTAAAATCCTTTTATAGATTAAAACAAGCACCTAAGCAATGGCATGAAAAATTTGATCATGCAATGCTTACTAATGGGTTTAAGATAAACGAATGTGACAAATGCGTCAATGTTAAAAATACTGACCAAGGATATGTCATAGTTTGTCTTTATGTGGATGACATGCTTATCATTGGAAGCAGTCAAAACATGATCAAATCAACTAAGCAGATGCTTAACAAAAGATTTGATATGAAAGATATGGGGGTCGCAGATGTTATATTAGGAATGAAAATTACTAAAACATCTAACGGATATGCATTATCTCAATCTCATTATATTGAGAAAAGTCTTGATAAATTTATCAAAGATGATTTGAATTTAGCTAGAACACCTGTAGACATCAGTCTTTATTTATCAAAAAATAAAGGTGATGCAGTGTCTCAGTTAAAATACTCCCAAATCATTGGAAGCCTAATGTACCAATGAATTGTACTCGTCCTGATATAGCTTATGCTATCAGTAAATTGAGTAGGTACACTAGTAACCCTGGAGAAGACCATTGGAAAGCGATCATTCGGGTTCTTAGATATCTAAGATTTACTCGTGATCATGGTTTGAACTTTACTCAATATCCAGCAGTATTCGAAGGTTATTATGATGCCAATTGGATATTGGATACTAAAGATTCAAAATCCACTAGTGGATATGTCTTTACTCTAGGAGGCGCTGCTGTTTCTTGGAAATCCACGAAACTAACATGCATCACACGATCTACAATGGAATCCGAGTTCATTGCTTTGGACAAAGAAGGAGAAGAAGCAGAATGGCTTCGTCACTTCTTAGAAGACATACCAATGTGGCCAAAACCTGTGCCAGCTATTTGCATTCATTGTGATAGTCAATCTGCAATAGGCAATACGTATATTAAAATAATGATAATGCCTTCAGATTACAATCTAATTTTGAAAAGGCGAATAAAACAACAGAGAGGGAAAACGAAAACACCAAAACAACAACCACCAACAACATCAATAACATCACTTTTTAGTTTTAGTAGGATAAGAAGCCATTTTGTTGATACCACATATCCCCTCAGCTTTTCCTGTGTTTCTCTTCATCCTTATGTATCCTTTCTCTCCCCATTTTGGTCCCCATGAATTCTTCACTATTATGTAATCCAATCCCTTGGCCGATCCATATCCAACGGCTGTCACTCCATGGTCCAGCTCGGTTCCACAGTGCCCGTCAAACACACCCTGCAAAATCAAAATTCCATGCCTCTCCCATAAATGAAGCACCAAATTAATGTGGAATGCTCGACTATTTATGCATCTATGCATTAGCATATGCACAAGATAAAGGATGTATTGTGTCATCCGTGCACAGTAACTCACAACAGCAAAAACATTTACCAATTGCAAAAGCTTGCGACAACGATGCTTTGGAAAAGTTTTTGCCAACCAGATTCCACATGTCGGCAAAAGCAAAGCCTTTGGTTAAGTAATGTTTTGTTGCAAAGACCACCACTAAGCCACTAAATAGTTAATGGGGTTGGAAAAAATGGTTCCAAATAGGGCGATTCTGATGCATTTGCCAACACAATGTTTGTATTAGCAAAATTATCAAAATACTCAGATTTTTTACAGCAGAATAAAAACTTTGTTGCCAAAAATTTTTCCAATCAAATTCACCAACAAATTCGATTTTTCATTGCCAAGAACTTGTTTTTGTCTGTAGAAATTTCCTTCAGTTGGAAAATCTTGTCGCCAAAATTACAAATTGTCGTAGTGACTATATACATGAATGTGAGAGAGTTTGAGAAGGCTTACCCCACTGTAAAATTGGAAATCTCTGCCAGAAGCCTCAATGGCGACACTGAGAGGCTGATTTGCAAGTGCCTTCAAGAGGCTCCCTTCATTGTTCTCCGGCACATCATGGTACCCACTAATGGTCACCACCTCTGATTGTCCCTAATATATTGGATTTAATGGGGAAAAAAAATCATTAACAGTAAAATACAGAGTAGAGGACATAATAGGTTTTTTGCTTTTAACATAATACGGGATTATGGATGATAAAATGCACCATGTAATTAATCCTATACCAAAAAAGAAAAATAAGCCTATCCAAAACTAAGAGCACTTCATAAATCTTGTGATTGTGACCATTGTCATTATAACAAGATTTAATTTTAAATTTGAATTTAATTTTATTTTTAAAGCGTGGTGTGTGGTTGGGTTGGGCTTGTTCGGCCCAATACTAATCTTTTTTGGTCAAAAACATTTGAATTTAATTTTATTTTTGGTAAAATAAAATCCAGAATTCAAATTAAACTGGTTTGGTTTTTTTGTACATCCAAACAAGGCCCTTTCCGTATTAAACTGGAAATAATCTGATCCGGATTTACTGTACACCCAAACAAGGCCCTTCCCGTTTTTGTTATCTGTTTGAATTGTAACCCAACAGATTCAAATTTGTTTGAATTCAAAACCAACAGGTATCATACCTGTTCAATTCAAAAACGTAGAGCCACCATTCCATCTATAAATAGGATAACCCTTATTTGGATTTTAAGAACTCTAATTTTCGTCCTTCATAATTCTGCAAACATCCTTTTCATTTTGCTGCATTATTTTTTTGTCAGAGAGAGTATAAACACTTTGTTTGTTCGTTAGACAAACAATTTGTAGTGCTGCTATTGTTTGTAGTAGATCATTTTATCCTGGGAGATAGACGTCTACATTTTGAAAGCACCGTGGAGAGGACGAATCTGTCTTAAGGAGACAGTGTCAAACACTGGACATGATAAGATTATAATTCGAAGAAATTAAATCAAGTAAGTTATTTAATTAATTTTTGTGTTATTGTTATTTATTTAAATCAGATTTTAATTTTGTTTTTGTAACAAAATAAAATCTATTTTTATTTATTTATTTATTATTTCGAGTTTGATTTTTGTAATTAAACAAATTCTCTCATTTTCTTTATTTCTTTAAATTCTAGTTGTTGTTTTGTACACAATAGAATTAAATCTTTTAAATACAGTGAAGATTGCCTAACAGATTCCTCGGGTATATCATTCATAAAAAAATAAAAGTAAAAAAGATTGATCCAACAATTGTAGTTTTTATTTTATTTTATTGTGTTTGTCTATTAAGGAAATAGTGATCTATTTTTTAAAATACACTTGTCTTTTCTTTTTTTTTGAAAACAAATGCAATAAAAAAAACATTCCGATTGATTTACTTTATCAAAACGGTACATAGGATGAACTTTACAAATCTCTTAAATTCTCCCAAGTTTAGATTTTAATTTGAGAGAAATTTAAGCTTACTTTGATTGTTGATATTTTACAAAATCACATGTCCTATAGTGCAAAAAGCAAGTAATAAATTCTATAAAACCAAAGTATCCAAATGTTATAAAGAACCACCAAAACCAAAAAAATTACATTAGGCAAAACAAACAAAGATGAGTTGTAATATTATCAAAGTAGGGAGGATAATAAAATAATTCTTCTCAAATGTAATCATTGAGCCATACGTGAGGCTAAAGTCATTAAAGTAAAGAAAATGTAAATTTACCATGAAATCCACGAAAGTGACTAAATTATCTAAAATGCCTACAACAATAATGAAGTATCAAGAATAACATAAGGGAAAAATGAAAAAAAAAAAAAGTACAAACCTGAAGTAGGTAAGTGCTTCTTATATACATAGATATATTACATATATAAGAAACAGGAAAGGGTTTTCATGTTTTGGGTATCAGTCCAAATCTACCCAAGGTTCTCGCTTTGCTGTTACTGCTTCCAAGGGTTCCTTTACTCACCGCTCTACTATTTCCACTTCTCCGTCTTTTTTTTGGATGATGTTAAGTCCATTATCCAACAGGTGCTTGCCAAATCTAGTACTCTTCATTCTACTGCTCTTTAAGTGACCTTAGGTAATTCAACCTGGTATTTTGATTTCCCTTACTGTAATCATATGACCTCTAACATTGCTATATATTCCTATTTATCATCATCAACTCATGTCCCCACTATACATATTACTGATGGTTCTCATATGTCTGTTACTCACATTAGTAAATTTTGTACTTTCACTGTGTTTCTTTATGATGCTTATCACTTTTCAGCTCTTCAATTGAATCTTGTCTCTGTTGGTTAATTATGTGAACTTGGTCTAAGTATTACCTTTTCTGTTAATGGTTGTTTGGTGCAAGACCATCAGATGAGATAGCTCTTTGGGATAGGCTGTAAGCATGAATGTCTGTTCAAGCTTGTTTATCTTTGCATTCTACCCAAATCATCCATTGTTGTTTCTGTTGCTTCTTCCGCTGCATCTACCTCTGACTTGTATTCTTTTCACCTTTGGCATTGTCGGTTAGGACATGACTCTTTTAGTGGTTTGAAAATTTTGGTTTCTAGTTGTGGGTTAGGTCGTGTCAGTCCTGAAGATGTCGATTGTTTATCTTGTCAAATTGTAAAACAACCTACATTACCTTGTAATAAAAGTAATTCCATTTTTACTTTTCCTTTTGATATTGTGCATTCAGATGTTTGGGGACCTTCACTAATACCGACCATGGGGGGTTTAGATATTTTGTGATTTTTGTTGATGATTTTTTCTTTATACTTGGATATTGCTTCTCAAAAATCGATATGAACTCAAACAGATTTATTATGATTTCTCCACTATAGTCCCCGTTCAGTTTTCTTGTAGTATTAAAATCTTTCCTTATGATAATGCTATGGAGTATTTGGATTATGATTTTCTTTCTTTTCTTCGGGGTAATGGTACATAACCTCATCGTTCTTGTGCAGGCACGTCCTAACAAAATGGACGAGCTGAAAGGAAATATCGTCATATTCTAGACACTACCTAGGCCATTCCCATCTCATCTTATTGTCTTGGAAAATTTTGGGGGAAAGCTACTTTCATTGCCGTCTACACCATAAACGGTGTGCCTACCATTGTCATAGCCAATTCCTCTCTTTACGAGCATTTGTATGGTTTTCCTCCTGATTAAACCACTCTTAAAGTTTTTGGCTCTACTTGTTTAGTTCTTCTTCAACCTCATAAATACACTAAACTAGAACCTTGTTCTCATCTTTGCTATTTTCTAGGATATGGTATAGAACATAAAGGATATCCTTGTTGGGATCCTGTCTCTAAGAGTTTTTGTATTTCTTGTCATGTGGTCTTTTGGGAACATAAAATGGTCTATACTCTTTCCAAGTTTCACCTACCACAGTCCACCCACTCCCCAATCGTTACTGATTTTTCTATAGAATTGTTTTCTAATGAATTTGATGCAGATTCTGATCCTATGCATCCATAACCGCCTACACTTACCATCTATCCTGAGGTTCCTGTGTATGGTCCTACGCTTTCTCCAACTCTTGTGGAACTTCCTCAATCTCCACTCCTTATGGAGCTTCTTTCATCGCCACCCTCTCATTTTTCACCAGATCGTCATTCTACACGAGTAAATCAACCTTTTGTCATTCTCTGTGATTATATTGTTGGTTCCACTACTTTTTCCTCTCATAAACCTACTTCCTATCGAGAGGCTTGTTTTAATCATTTTTGGCAACAAGTTATGACGGATGAACTGCAGGCAAGCTTTAGATAAAACCCATACCTAAAATGTGGTTGATCTTTCTCCTAGAAAGAGTGCTATTAGTTGCAAATGGGTTTAAAAGATCAAAACTCATTCTGATGGTTCCATTGAGCGTTATAAAGCTCATCTTGTTACCCGGGAGTTTAGTCAAGAATATGAAATTATGTGGAAACATTTGCTCTTGTTGCCCTTCTTACTTTAATTCGCAACTTACTTGTAGTTGCTGCTGCTCACTACTAGAGTCTTTGTCAAATGGATGTCAAGAATACATTTCTCAACGGTGACCTCACTAAGGAAGTTTATATGTAGCTTCCTCATGGTTATTCTGTTATATTAAACAAAGTATATAAACTTCGTCATGCTTTTGTATGGTTTGAAACAAGTTTCGCGTGCCTGATTTGCCAAGTCTAGTTCCACCATTCGTGACTTTGGATTCTCTTTCAGTGCCTATGATTCTACTCTATTTATATGTAAGGCGGAGCGTGGTATTGTTCTTATTCTTTCTCTATGTAGACGATATTATCATCACTAGGGATAACAAAGTGGTATCTCTAGTTTCAAATAGTTTCTCAATCGCCAGTTTGAGATGAAAGATTTGGGTTTACTTAGCTAATTGGCTTGGAAATTTCTCATGATTCATCTAGTTACTTTCTCACCCAGGCCAAGTATACATCTGATTTCTTGGCTCGTGTTAGTCTTACTAATTGCAAGACTGTTACGACTCTAGTTGATCTTCAGACTTGTCTAACACCTCTTGACAGTCACCTTTTGTCGGATGCTATTTTATATCTTTAGTTAGTTGGCAGCCTTGTCTATCTCATGGTTATTTTTCCAAACATTGTCTATGCTATTTATATTGTCATTCAGTTCATGATTGCTCTTTGGTCTCCATACTATGCTACTCTAGTTTGCATTTTGAGTTATCTCAAAGGAACTATGTTTCATAGTCTTTACTACTCAGCTTACTCTTCTCTATAGTTACATGCATTTTTTTATGCAGATTAGGCAATGGATCCTATTGACTGCCATTCTACTATAGGGTTCTATTTCTTCTTGGGTAACTCTCTCATTGCTTGGCGTAGTAAGAAACAAACTCTTATTGCTCGTTCTCATACTGAAGTTGAGTATTACGCTCTTGCTAACACTACTCAGGAGCTTGTATGGCTTCGTTAGCTTCTTTCTGACATAGTAGTTTTTCACTCTGCTACCACCAACCTTTATTGTGACAACCATAGTACTATTCAGATTGCACATAATGATAAACATATTGAGATTGATTGTCAATTCATACAGCAACATGTTACTAGTGGCATTGTTCGTCTTATCTTTGTTACCTCTGTCGATCAGATAGCCAATCTCTTGACCAAACC